AGTATCTGGCGAAATTTCTCTTTTTATCTGCACTTTTAGTTGGTTACTTTTCTTACGTATTTTACGAGCCAAAACGAAGGAATGCGTTTATGCGCGACATAACTGTCTCACCTCTCATATCCTCCTGGAGACCTACACCTTGACCAGAACAGGCCTTCACATAATCAATTTTTCCCCCATCTTTAAGGTATAGCACTTAGTAGTTTTTTTCCATACATGTTGGCGCCAGAGAGGAGAAACATTCTATTTACTTGTTTTTAACAAACATTGTACTGGCATTTCGATGGCTAACCCATGATGCGCTCATCGTGAAATTATTGGAGTCTAAACCATGCATCTACCACATCTTCTCTCGTTCTGCTGTTTGTTTGTTTTTATGATTTGATATATCGACAATCAATTAATTGCCTCTTTTTGAAAATAGGGGAAATTTGAAGCCACACTCATACTGTTCAATCAGGAGCAGTTCTCCGTTTTCTGCGTCCAGTCGGTAGTGGTCGTGTCATGAGCCAATCACTGCTGACTCAGTGGACCAAGGCATCCGCTAGTTATTGAAATTGACTTCTTTTCAATATATGTTTTCAACATCGACATTTAGTTATTATACATTTAGTTACTATACATTCGTGTAGATTTCGTTTGGATATATTTAGAAGAGGTACAATCGTAACTCCAAGTTTAAGACGCGATGCATCTGTTGTTGTAAACGTAATTCTAGAAACTTTGTCGTTCAACTGTTCTTTGTTTTTGTTTTCTTTTTAGTCCTTCTGTTGCTTTTTGTCAAATGCGCTGTTAAGGAATCGATTTGAATGGTTGTACAGCAGTGTACTTATTTTGTTTACATTTACTGGAAAAAAGGAATTTTCAGTGAGGCCTCTTCTCTTACCATTTTTTCTACGCATTATGACTCTCTTAGGTCACTGCATTTATGCGTGTTTTTTAATTTTTTTTAAGTTGAAGCTATTTTTCAAATTTTTTTAGGAGTTAAGTGTGGAAAACTAAGGCCCATCCGTGGTATCCTTTAGATATCTTGGTGAAGTCAAAGGTTTTATAGCCTGTGGCTTGCGTTTTCAAGGGGATATCTATAACTCATATGCGTATACAAATAGAAATTGATGTGTAACTTTTGTATTTTACTGAAATAAATTTAAGTGCTTGCGCAAACAAGAGTCAGTAGTCACTGCTTAGGTATAAATCGCCTCACCTGACGGGGTACATGATGTTGAAGTCTTGCGATGTAATATAATTTAAACCAAATATATGCCTATGTAGATGGCGTCTTGAGCAAAGCATCAAATGGGCAATTAACAGACCCTGGTTTTTTCCTTCGTAAACGAACAGTACATATTCCAGAAAGGACTGGCTTTTAGGAATACTGATCGTGTCTCGTGATTGAGCGATACATTCCCCAACGTAAAAATGAATTAGAAGCATATTACAAGAAGATTATGCTAGGTGAGTGTCCTGTGGACCCGCACATTGATAGGTGAGTGTCCTGTGGATCGCTCATAACGTTAAGGCTAAGTTCCGCAACCGAAAGCTCACTTATCTGGTGAAAATGAAATGAGAATGGAATGAACAGCGCAAGAGACAGCGCTGTCGGGTCACCTGATCATTATTTTTTTATCTTTCCTCTACTGCTTCTTATTCCTCTTTACAAGTACCGTAAGTCTCGTCTCGATAATGAAATTTGTTTTGGCTTTAAAGTTTTCTTTGAAAACTATAAAGAGAAATATTGGTTCTTGGAGATAGTTGAGATGTATCGAAAACTGATCCTCATCTCAGCCATCCTTCTGTTTGATTCCAAAAGCCATTCTCAAATTGGCTTGCAGTAATTTCTGCAAGTGCATTAGTAATTTCTCACACCATGGTCCGACCCATAAAAGGCAAATTCGAGGATCGATTACAAGCCTTAATGCTTTGGATAATATTCTTCAATGTCTGCCTCGGTGCAATATATTTACAGCCCACCATTTTCTAGAATCCAATAGGAAACGAATCCATTTTTGTGTTTCTGAACAGCGCCGTGGTGTTAATTGTTGTGGGTAAGTTTTATTTGCTTACAATAAGCAATGACCGGTTTTGCTAATACTGGGATCAGATTGAACGCTGGAATTGGCCAACCTAGTACCAGATCCTTGATGGCCAAGGTGATAATTGATCTCCGTGAGAATGTGTAAATGACCGTAAAGAAGGTTTGCAAAGATACCCTTTTTTAAAACATTAGTGAGTATCGAGGCCGCGCGAAACAGGATGGCATAGAAGCTGTAACAACTTATTTCGGACTACTGCACAAACCCACGAATTGGAAAAAGGTTTTCCTGACAATTCTGTACCTTTCGGGATGTTTACGGTCATTTTCACATTTCCACACTGATCAAAGTTTACCTCATGGAGAGAAAAAAGGTTGGCAAACATACAGCTTGCGACTGTTTGTTTGCTCTGCTTCTTTCGCATGACAACAGCAAAGCCGCGCGAAATAACATGCCCCTTGAGGGACCTGGTACAGGGTTGTCTAATCCTAACATTTATTGGGACCCTGTATCAGCAAAGTCGCGTATTTTTAAACTGCACTGAATTTATATTGTATGACTCGGGCTTACGGCCGCTAAGCAAGCTGAGGACAAAGAGAGCCATCACTCTCCCCGATTGTACAATTTGGGAACAAGACCTCACTTTGAGGTTTTCCAAGACCGACCTCTTTGTCCACTATTAAGAATTTATTAAAAAGTTGAGCCATACAAAACTGGCGAGGGGCGTGTAAGCCAGGTAATCTGCGTTGTATTACATCTAAGTTGTCTCATTCCCTTCTTCAATTTTTACTTTCGTCATGACAACCTGTGAGCCACAGTTATTCAAATGTCTTAAAAAGCTTCCGGTATCATTCAATAACTATCTAACTGTTTGGCGCATTCGGAAAAAAGAAAAAACCTAAACATTATGGGATTTTATTGAGAAGATTCTGCATGATTTCGTGTCATATTTTTTTCTTCAACAGTTAAAGGCCTCCTTTCCTTAAAGTCTAAGTGGAGAAAGTTCTCCTCTTGCTTGGTGCGATGTTTCCGGAAGATGTGTGGCAGATGTCGCGATGGTCATAGGAGCGGACGGAGTGATTTGTCCCTAATACAACCACTGACTGAGGAACCATTAGTTTTCGATGAATAAAAAACTTAATTGTTTTGGCTTCATTAAGGTATTTTGGCGCGGCAAAGAGAGTACACGGGGATCTCTAATTTTGTTGCTTAGCTGAACTCCCAGCCAAAGTATGCTGCTTTGCATAGCTACTACGCTGACAAAAAAAATATCTATTTCTCTTCAATTGCATCTGTTGTTCGTCAAATGTTTTCGAAGTTTAGGTAACAAGGAAAAGTTAGTTGTATAACAGGTCCAAAGGAAATATTTTGCAATGCAAAATAGTGCACGAACAGTGTTATGCTTTGCTTCTTTTCTCCGTGTATTTAATTATTTCTTTTCCATTAATAAATCTATCTCAGAAACTTTGAGCAGGAATTTAAAATGTCGCTCTATAATTAGTGGACCTTCGTCTTGCATACCTCACCCATAAGGCCGGGAAGCTAAATATATTTAAACATCTGAAAGGCTTATTTACTAATCATTAATATTTTTATCTATAGTACATTGCAATTGGCCACATTTACTCCAACACTTAATTGACCCATCTTTTCTTGGGAAAATTGGTTTACAACATTAATTCACCCTCGGTACAAAATCACAAAGCCTGGTCTACATTGTAGAAACGGATCGAGACGATAACTTCTCCCCAGTTTGCAATGATAAAGAAAGCGTCAGTATAGATGCGTTAAGAGTTATTTAATTATTCCCAATTCCTCTTAAAGTAAATGCCCTATCTTGAACAATTGTAACAACAATAGCGATAGATATTAATATTTAGAATACCATATGATTTACTAATACGATTTGAGCTTGATCAAAATGTAATCTGGTGAAATTAAGTTAAAGCAAGTAATTTTTGGTACATTGAAAAGGAAGAAAAAAATAAAAAAAGTCTGCATGCACGGAGTTTCAATGTATTCATATCGCGTGAAAAAATGTTAGCCTAAGGAAACACGGGGAGAAGAAGATTGGATCCTTTACGTTTAGGATCATCAAGAGAGGATAATTTTTTTTTTGGGGGGGGGGGAGAAACACATTACTTTCAGGAGCACGGGGGGATATTAGTTGTCACCAACAGAGTATAAAGGGGGGGGGGAAGGGGGTCTGTAGAGAAGTGACTGCTAATGAGGGGGGATCATTTAAAAATGTTTCAGAGCCATATGGGGAGATCAGGTAAATTTTATTGAGACACAGTCAAAACTCATGATTTAACATTAAACGGATCAAAATGTCTCTACACCGAGAAGTTTCACAAAACGAATTTGTTCATCAACATAAAAAAATATATACCTTACAGGGCATGGCGCTCTATTAATAATTACAAGTCATTCTATAGTCTATCTTTTCATTTATGAGCGTGAAAAGAATCGGATCGGGCCAACAAAAGGCTTTCACGTCAGTTATCGTTGACTTTTTCATTCAGTGACAGAAAATTTCCTCTGTTAAATATCTGTCTGATGTAATGCCATCCGTTAGTTTGCCAAATACCTTTTGAGAGCGGTTTCATTCCAATTCGTTGGTATAAGAAGTAACATGTATTCTTATATTAACCCTTTAACTCCCAGATTAAATGTGCAATTCTCCCATCTGTCAACAATGCAATTATTATAATGTTAGTCCCGAGAATTTAGTATTGGATCAAATTATTATCCTCAAATTGATATTTTTCTTATTCTCATCACTTACCTGGTTGACATTGTATTGATATTGTAATGAGAAATTCTTTCCTGGTCGAGTTAAAGGGTTAAAGATGATGATGATAAAGGTGATAAAACAGCAAAAGGAAAAAAAAAAAAAAATGTCATCAAAATCATGAACATCAAACATGAAGACTATAAAGATGTATTATTTAATAACAAGCAAATGCATCATACAATGAAAACTATCTGAAGCAAAAATCATCAACTATGAAGCTACAAAGTGTCATTATCTTGCTTCGACGACAAAAGATACATATTGGACGGTATAAATTCTTATGCTTGTGGTCATCACAGAATCTGAAAAGATGTGACGTTACGACACAGCTGTGGCAGTCTAGTTAATGAATCCAAGTTCCTGGTTCAGGTTTCCCCCTCAAAAGGGCCGTCCAAGTAGTTTCGAACAATAAAATGCCCTGAAAAAACAGCAGCCACCAACAGTGGAGCACATGTAGCTATGACTAGCTAAGCTCTCTTTGTCGATCAATTTAATTTTCAATTGAACGATGGAACCGCAAAAAAGAGTGAAAAGGAAAAAATTAATTGAGTTGATTAAGCTCTCAATTACTCATCTAATTTCTGATTGTTATTATTTATAAACTACATGTAAAGTCTAAGTTTTTTTTGTCTTGAAATCTGGCCAGTAAATTTTATGTTCTCTTGTTTAATCTTTTGGTTTTCTCAGTTCAAACATTATGGATGAGTCAAGTCCATCAATCTTTTAATCTCGGCTGTTAAATCATATTGGCTTTTGGTGCAAGTCAATGGCGGTAAACATGATGAGGAAAGGTTAAAAAGACGTTATACACTGTAACGCCAAAGCGGCCATTACTCTGTAACATGGTCTTCCTCCCCCAAGATTGGCTCCAGGACCTCATAGTCTGGGTCTCTTTTGCGTCGACAGCCATGTATCAAATGGAGAAGACCTTTTCCTGAAAGGAAAAGAAACATCACAAAGCGGATTAACTTTCCACACGGAAAAGTTACAGAAAAGCAAACTTAAAAGTAGTAGACAGTAGTACTTTGTAGTAGTAATTTGAAGTAGTAGTACTACAAATATTGTATCAGGAAGTGTTCTTTGTTTTCAGGGATGGAAAAACGTGTAATCCTTCAGTGAAGGTCGGAAGAGATAACGGATAACAATAATCAAAGTTTCCTAACATGTTCATACATTTGGCTCACTGCTAACCAAGTTTAACAAACTTTGACCAGGTTTTTGTGACTTAATGTGTCAAACGGACCACTTTGTCTCCCAAAGACCGAATCAACTATTTCACTTAAGTATAGTGCAAGTAGGTATTAATGCATTACAGAGATACGTTCTTGTCGGTGTAAAGAGCTCATTTAGGAAAAAAGTAATTAAACAACTCCGACCAAACCCTTAAAGTCTTCTGCAATGCCGTTACAATATATTGATCGAAAAAAAAGTTCTGATCAGAGGACTTACCAACTGCCACAACCAACACGGAACAGTTGAGAATAAAAAACATCACATTTACAAATAACGTATTGTTATCTCCATGCCCCTCGTTCAAGGTGGGCCGTGAATAAACTGCACCAAGACAGACATTAAAGAATATCACCCACAGCACAAATGTTTGTAGTCGATCTTCAAACTTGTCTTTCATCGGTCGAAAGATGGTGTATACAATTCCTGATGCACTTGCTGCGATCACAGCAAAGCCAATTTGAGAATCACTTTCGGAGTCGAACAGAAGAATAACTGAAATAAAGATCAGCTTCCGGTACATCTCAACTATCTCCCAGAACCAATACTTGTCCTTATAGTTCTCATAGAACACTTTCAAGCCAAAGTTAAACTGTTTGTGTTTTTGTGGGTATTTTCGACATTTCCAAAGGAGTGCCAGCAGCAGAATTGGGAAGGCGATGGGATACAGTGCAAACCCAGCAGCGATGTGCCAAAAGTCACTGTGTCGAGAGGTAGAACAAGGAATGGAATAGTCGGCCTTCAGTAGAGAAATACAATCGTTGTCATCATTCAAGAAACACTTCTCGACACACGCTCCTGGCAGGGGCAGAATGTTTATAATCTTCTTACTTGTTATTGGATAAGACAACAGGAGAAATAAAAAGATGTTTCGATAGCAAGACTTCTTCAACTTTGAGATTTTTTCCCATTTGGATTCCCCCGTTGAGCACGCCGAAGTACTCTCTAGCATGGAATTCTCAATTCCATACAAGGCATTTTCTGCTGTGGTATCCTCCATTCTTTCTAAGGTGTTTCTCGCTATAAAATTGGAATTGTTTTCTTCCGTGGAATTCTCCATCCTGTTAAGGAGAAGCATTTTAAAGAAGAGGTAAAGCAGTATTAAAGAGACAGCAAAGACGTTTATAGTAACAGCGAGGACAAATTGAATAAATGGGTCCAAGCGGAGCACAGGGTGAATGCAACTCAGAGGTGCGAACTGTAAAATATTTCCTTCAACAAATTTCAAGCATTTCGCCGCAGATAAAATAACCATTGGCCACTGGACATGCAGCAAAGCTGAAAAAATACCAGCAAGAACTTGATAGAATCCAATAATGATCTTAATGCAGGACATTACGACATCTGCAACAAAACGATTGTCTCCTGTTCGTCTTGAGTCGCACTTGAAAACAATCACAAAAAGCAGGACAAAGGACAAAAGTATCAGACCACAAGAAAAGACTGTGACTACCAGCTTAGGACATTTTAAACATCTGTTGAATCTAAGATAATGGTACGAGGAACATGATGCACAGAGGGTACCCTGGTAGCCAGTGTTGCACGTTGAGTTTATTCCGCCCTTACATGAGTCTGGATAAGGGCACTTCAGAGGCTTTGGCAACAGTCCTTCAAAAGTGGAGAAGGTTTTATTATATTCAGCTGTGGTAATTTGGATGTTTTGGACGAAACTTCTGTAAGATTCCATTTTTTCGGAGCTGTTCCATTTCCAAAAGTAATTTGGTGCTAATATTGCCGTATCATTCTCACAGTTCATTCCATGATATGGACACGATTTGCAAGGACCAAAACGATCCAAGCGGTAGAATTTATGGAGGCATCGACATGCACGGTAACCAGCGATTTCATTAGTGTTAGTACCTGTTTACAAACACAGAAATGTTATGTAAATACAAAGTGATCAGGATTTTCCAACATGAAAACCCTTTACTTTCTTGAGAGATCTTTCAGAGACCAGTTGTTCAAAGGACGGATAACACTATCAAATGGGTAAATCGCTGTCCAATGGATAAGTGTGAGCAGAACGTACTGCGCTATCCACCGAATCGAGATTTATTCAGTCAAGAGCGCTATCCAGTCTTTGAACAACCAGAGCCAGATGGATAAACTTTCTGCTAAAGTACAACCGCCAGTGCTCTCCACAACATTGTTAACCTATGGTTGCATGGGGAGTAATACACATCAGAGACAGAACACCAAATTTTACAGACAGTACCCGGTTAACAATTTACGGTTAGCGACGGGTAGTCGTTTTACCTCACCGCCTTCCGAAAATTAGCAGTACAGGTGTCGAAACAAATTGGTTTTCCTAGCTTGGCTCTGCAATCAGTAATGACTCTTAGTCGCGAGAAAATGTTTGATAATTAGTTCATGTGTAAAATCATAATGAAAAGCAAGCACATCTTTCAAAGCATAAAATCATGGTCATCGGACAATAAGAACGAAAGTGAAATCACGCAATAGCTTGTTATTGAACCTGATCCTTACCGTATGGGCATGCGCGATAGTCATTAGGACTTTTTCCAGGATGCTACTCCTCGTGAACATAGGTATACGTGCTACAAATCTTGCATCCATATTGACCCATTCCTTCTTTATCGAGACGAGATGGGTCAATATGATAAAGGAAGAATTCTCGTTCTTGAGAAAAGAATTCCTTATTCTTGTAGCAAGAATTTCTGAAATCGAGATTCTTCTCAAGATATTCATACATAATGCATTCTTACAAGAAGAATTCTCTTCTATTCAATATTATTGCCTCAATTTTTCAAAACTCAATTTCAATCATTATTTTCTCTTACCGTAAGGGCATGCACGACAGTCAGTCGCGGATTTTCCAGGGTAGTTAATCTCAGGAACATAAGTGCCAATGGAGCAGGTCTTACAGTCAATTTGGCCCATTTCGTCTTGGTAAAAGCCTCCTAAAAATAAAACATTTGGGAGCGATACTCTATTCATTGAGATCAGACACTCATTTTATGGTTTTTAGCTAAACGTAAATGTCTCCAAAAACAAATTGCAACATGTAAAGCATCGTATTTACCTGCAGGGCACCTCAAGCAATGTGAATTCGCTCTATCACGGCTGCTGTAGGTGCCCGTCGAGCAAAGGCTACAATTAAGGCATCTGTGATAGCCCCCCTGACGGCATTTAGAACACATAAAGCCGGAGTCAAGAAGACCATCCACCTGGTAGCGGCGTTCTGGGGAATACACCACTACAAACAAAGATTCTGTTGGAGCACATACGCTGATGAAAGAAATTAAAACCAGAAACTTGTTAATAAAACCAAAGGGGTGAAAAGCCGGCGCAACAATACACTGTAATTCAAGGTTAGAGAGTTCCACAAAGGTTGTATGTTAGGCAAATGAAATGGCCTAGATTCAGATTCACACCAAACTAGACCAAAAGATACTGAATATGACAAATCATTGATGAAAGCTCAAAAATGATACATTATAGAACAAGACAGCACAGCACATCACAGCCGGATCTTACTGCATCTGATAAAGTAGATCAAACCGAAGATAATATACTTCAGCACCCTATATGTAAGTGACCTCGAGGCAGCAAAAAATAACTGATCTGTAAAGTTTTTAAATTTTGGTTAAAAACTTCAAATTCTCAGTAACGATGACTAACTTTTTTTCTTTGTTGATAAACATTATCAAGTCAAGGTTAATTAATCGTAGTTTTTAATCTGAGGTTTACAGCAAAACCCGAGCGATCCTGAATTGCCACCAAAATTGCTATATTTGATCTTTCACTTACACTCTTGCATCGTTTATCCCTCGAGGAAGCTCTTTGAGGGTTTTGCAGGAGAGAGCTCTAAAAAGAAGTTCAAACCTTTTAACTTTAAGATGAGGTTTGGGGTAGCTTAAGTAAATTGACAATTAGTAGGTTTAAATGAAGTAGCTCATTTGGTCAGAACCGTGCACGAAGATCAGGATCAGTCAAGAACAAAATTATTGTGCAGTTTGTTATTTATCACTGCATGGTTAAAACACCTTTAAGTCAGTTGGCATCACCTGAGGTTTCAGTGATCTTAAAAAAAACGAGGTGTCTCTCTCGGAAGGTATAACCAACTTGAATTACCGATTGTCAAATATCTCAAATAACAATCTTTATCCAAGCAACTGCAATGAGGAACAGTGGGTATGTAATGGTATTAATGACTCAAAGTTCATACTTATTGAATGTAAAAGGGCTTTGAAGAAATGTATCATTGTGAGTAGATCATCGCCCAGCATTCAGCGACATATCCGGGACTTTCATTGAGACACCGGCGCTAAATTTAAAAGCTTATTAGAAAATGATTGTCAAACAATAAAGGAAAAGGGCTGAAAATGCCGAGGAAGGCTTACGTTCTCTTCGTTTACGGATAAACTACTTTTCAAATGCTACTTTTACCATATGGCTTTTAAAGAAGAAAGTTCAATTGAACAGTGTATCATTCTCACTTTGTTCTTGCGCTTTTAGAAGAGTTCGCAAATTTGCCTTGAAAATTGACGATGTTAGCATCCTGCTTGTATGAGAAGTCGATCTCGGCGCACTTTCAGGCGTAATTTATCTTCACTCAATTGCTAGATTTCTCTTTTACCATACGGTTATTTTTATTTGACATTCTAGAAAGCGTCATAGAAATTTCCAAGGGATTCCAAACTTTGGAAGTAGTCGCAAAACGCGAATTTCGAAAACGTTTGCTCAGCATCGTAGTGTTCTATCCTAATTTGTCCTTTGGAGACCCCCACGAAAATACAAGTGACCTATTTTAAACTTCCCGCGAGAATATCAACGTATGCTAAGCTCCGCCTCCGCAAACAATCGCGCACACGCCGCCTAATTATTATTGAAATTGAGGTGGTAACTAGACAATGCTTAAAAAACTGTAAATGCTTTTAAGATATGATCGCTGCGATCGCTGCAAAAATATTCAGCAATCGTTACTATCATATGGAAATCATACTCCTATTATTGTCGCAAGATAGACTTAAGTTCTATCTCGACGATCGTCGCAATCACAAGCCGGTTGTCGGAAGCATCGCTCATATTTTTCTCTACCGATTGAAGCGATTTTAACGAAATAGAAAATAGGCAATAACTTAAAACAGAACATCCGGCTATCGACCTCAATCCTTGGTTGGAGGTTCATGGAACCTACTTTTTTTGCGAGTGCGATTGTTGAACTAATCGAACTTTAAAGATACCATTATTCTCTTACATGTCCCCTATTAGGATTTTTCCTTTGGCTGGTCTTTATGTTTGACTCAGAAATGAAGTTACTTACTCACTTAAATACGTCTAGCAATGTTCGCCAAATTCAGTATAACGTTTATTTAAGAAAAGTGTTATTTACAGACAAATGTTATGAATTGGGATTTACTTTACACATCCAACCGTTTGATTGACAGCAGCTGAAATCTGCAAAGAGACTCATGTATTCCCAAAGCTTTACCTGCTGACCAATCACAACCGACTAGTTCAGGATATGCAAATTATTATGCTGCCCGCTGATTAAATGGGCACTGCAAGTACATGTCGCGAAAGACAATAGCATTCTAAGCGATGTAAAGAACTATCTATACTTACAAAGTAACATTTTCATTCAGTCCATCGAATACATTTCTTGGGAGTGACGTTAAGGCGGGATTTTTAAATAGCGTCCTAAAATTCAAGAAGTTAATTTGTTTATATGATAAACTTAAGAATGAATTGCTTTAAAATGGCAGTTTCCCTTACGCGGAATAAATTTGTCGCTATCCCGTACAAAGAAAAACCAAGGGGAAACTTGACATAAAACCACCAAGATCGTGATACTGATTTAGAAAAACCATCTACAAACTGATCGATACTGAAATTATTAAAATGCTAAATACTATAGAACTATGTACGAAGCTGAAAGAAAAGCATATCAGTTTACTTCTATTCAATACAACTTACACCAAACGCAGATCAGTGAGGCCGCGAAAAGCATTCGCATCAACGTTTTTGATTCGGTTTCCGTGTAAAAACCTACAGATAACAATACAGGGAGAATGAAACTATCTTGTGAGATTTCAAGAGAAAGTAAAAGGCATTAGAACACACCATCTTAATGTAAAGTTAATCTACATATATTAATGATATCCATGTGACACCTTAGAATTTGCAAATAATTCATAGATTTCAGGTTACTTACAAAAAGTTCAAAGACATTTCAGCCAAAGCCTTTTCAGGAAGAGAAGCCAGACTGTTGTTCACAAGCATCCTTCAAAAAAAAAAGACAAGACGGACGCTTCAAGCTCTCTGTTAAACCCCTGTTACATAGAACTCTTTCTCGGAGATTAGGAGAAAGGCTTCCAGTAGTGTTCTGTATTAGTTCTTCCGCGTTATTTTAGAGTCAACGTTTCTTTCTTCTGTGTGTGTATGTTTTTTACGTTCAGTATTTTAAAATTCATTTCTAAACGTTTCATACGGCACAATAACATTCAACGGTTTTCTTCGTGTCAACTTAAAGTGAAAAGATTACTTACAGCAACCTCAGATTTTGAAGCCCAGCAAAGGTAAGGCTGCTAATTTTTGAGATGTTGTTGAAGTGCAGAAACCTAATTAAGGGAAAATGACATGGATTTTCAGAGTAATTCTTTTTTATTTTGTGTTCTAACTGTTTCAAAACAAAAAAAAAGGAGCAGAAAAGGCAGATTTGATCTAAATATATAGAGTTTTCAAATAATAGTTCTCTAATTAGCATGTTTAGGGTTACCTCGTAATTTTTGATAACAACAGGTAAGATGTTTTTCGTCTTGTCACGAGCCTGGGACAAAGAAAAAATTCTGAGTCCCCATGAGGAATCGAATCTCATGGGGACCCAGAATTTTTTCTTTGTCCCAGTCTCATGACAACTGAAGACGTAAAACATCTTTCTCTACTTCTTTACCGAGCTTAAAACTTACCATCTCTCTTATTCTATTTACAAACAGATTACATGTTTAAAAATAAAATTTCTCTTACAATACTTTCAATTGCTTGAGACCAGAAAACGCACGATCTGGTATGGACGAGAGCTTATTGTTGAAAGACAAATCTCTGTATAAGTAAGTATAGGACATATTAGGCAATCAATCACAAACAAAGCCGTAGATGAGTGAAGTATGAAATCAGTGAGTCTCAGTATCCAATCAAACACAACTTACAAAGCGTACAGTACGTTCAAATTCTGGAACACTTCGGCTGGTAGCTGCTCGATTTGATTTTTCGTCAGAGACCTAAAGAGATAATGCGCATACAGATAAATATGAATGCACTCAAGCCAACCATCCGTACTGACAAAATGTCTATTACGGAATTCGAATCACTCCTAAAAATAGGAATCTATTTGCAGGGGGAATTCTCTTTTTAAAATGCATATTGCTTACATTTCTCTCACATAGTTGATTCTTGACGTTGCAAGGCTTGATATGTTGCTTATTCGATTATTTCCCAAGTTTCTGAAAAAGTTAAAAGAAGTGAGATCATTAGAATTTTTTTGTAATATTAATAAACAAATGAATGAATTTAAAACGTTCAGTTTCATTAATAAAAAATCCCAAATGTAGCTCACTCAATTACAACTGTATGGTACGACACTAATATCACTATCACCAAAACGCTTGTTTTGTGATTGGACAGAGGAATCGAGAGAAGGAACTCTCCAAGATTGCTCTAGTTTTTAATTCGTTGAAAACTTTGCATGGAATAGAAAATTTGCGATACAAAGTACATATTAACTCTTTAACTTCCAGAAGTGATTATGTAACTTCTCCCTAAAATATCCATACATTATCCAATAAATAGGTAATAAGAATACACAAATTAATCAGGCAGAAGATATTATCTCGTTCTAACACCAAATTCTCATAACTAATTAACAAGGTAATGTGTAGTAGCAAGAGGGGAGAATTAACAACCTGATCTTGGAAGTTAAAGGTTTAATAATGCGTTATGATGGATACTTAAACTTGAGGTTTCTTTCGTGTTTTCTCCTCTTGAATGGACTCATGCTGACTAAATTCTTTTACAACTTAGATAATAAAAAAAATAGATATGTAATATTTTCTTGACAAAACATCATTTTTTTACATTTTGTGGCCTTTTATCACCTTCAAAAGATGTGTATTGCTCCACGGAATCGTGTGAGCCAATTTCCACTTAATTCTCAGGGCACAGTGTATATCGTTTGTGTCCAAAATGTCAACAATAGTTGATAAGAGTTTGAAGCATTAACGGTTAAATCCTCCTGAAGAAATCGAAATTAGCAAGGAAATTGAAAAAAAATTCTGTTACGAATGGCTTTGAATAGTTGATGGTTACTGATTTGGTACTTTCAGGAAAATCAAAAAGTAAAAGTGCAGTTTACGTTGGCGTAGAAAATGGCTCAATGTTAGCAAGATTACACTTCAAGCCTTTTGAAAGATTTTCGATAAAGTGAAGCAAGGTAAAATAACAACACAAGAAGTGACCCACTGTTTGAGTAATAGAAACTTACAGAAACTCCACCGTCTTAAGACCAGTCAAGTCGGGTACAGATGTTAACTTGTTGCCATCTAATCGCCTGGAGTATTCAAAATTAAGAGTGAAAAGTCGTTAAATCTAGCGAAGGCCTCTGCAAGTGGACGCGTTTTGTGCCACGGGGCACGAAATAGAAAGGTAACAGGGAACATGTACACGTAATTGTTACAACAAAAAAGCTGAAAAGCTGGATAGGAATCGGCACGGTTTAATGAAATTATGTATCTTATGGAATGAGGAGGTTAGTGCAGCAGGCACATATTTCCAATATATCATGAGGAACGAGGTACATATCCTTGTGATAGTTTTCGATCATGAAGGTTTATTTTTTTTTAAGAAGGATAAAAGAAGAGCAATTCTTAAAGTAACAACATTAAAAAAGGGACTTACAATTCAATGAGTTTACTTAAAGAGTTGAATGCTCCATCAGCAATTTTTGTCAAATTTGTCGATCGAATATATCTGCAGTAAAGAATAATAAACTATCGTAAAAGAGGTCATTGCTCATGGTACTGGTAAGTAATAATAAACTGTTTAATCGTTTGTATCACGATGTAGTCACTTGAGATGTAGATGGCGATCTGCATCTCAAGTGACTATATCGTGATACAAACGATTAAACAGTTTATTAAGAATAAACTCATAAGAAAATTATATCTTGATCGTCTGGAACACGAAGACGGAGTCGAAAGCAACTCAAGCAATACTTACATACAAAGTTCTTGATTTTTATTGAGAGAAACTGTTGAGGGGTGGACTAACAAGTTTTCAGCCTTTTCGAGGCTCTCGCTCAATGAAGGGTCTCAACGGGGTTAACCGTTTGTCGTAAAAAGGCCAAAAATTTAGCGGTTTGACCGTTATTCGTCGAAAAAGTTAAAAACCTTAATAAAAACTTTCTGGCGACCATAATGGTAACATACTAACCGTTAGTTGTAAATTGGCCAACGTTTTAACTGTTAGCCGTAAAAGTTAGAATCCCATCGAGACCCTCTTAGTGGAGAAACCGCGTGCAATTAAAAGCCAGCTATGTGGTAATAGAAAAACGATAGTTGTTAGAGAAACAGTTATTTAAGTTTGCCGAAAACTCGCCCAGTAAGTGAGAGCCAGAAAACCTGTTCAGCCCAGCCAAACAGCCAAACTCGCCCAGTAAGTGAGAGCAAAAAACCTGTTCAGCTCACAGCTTTTCTATCTTCTTCATTGCCTGGAAGGCTCCACTTTCGATGCGCTTTAAACCGCTTCCTGACAATTCCCTAATTAAGAAATAAAGAACCTCATTTAGCTTTGCATAGCACAATCCGTTCAGCAAGATATCTGTAGCCAGTCCTTATATATTGCATACCTATGAAATAAATTTACGTATATGGTAAGTGATTATCCAGTTCTATTCCAAAAAGCCCTCGTTTTGCTGAGATGGTGTAATGTTTACGTTGCGTAGAGCTTGAGAGAGTATCATTCATGAAGGTTAATTTTAAATAAATGACAAGAAGAACTCGTCATTAGTCACTGACAAAGCTGCTTATTAAAAGTTGTTATATATTAGAATCACAAAAATTTAAGTTTCTTTAGAAACAGGCCTACAACAAGTGGAAACGCTGCCTACACCCCTGGTTTTCGATGATGACGACGTCGACGAAGGCGTAGATGACGTTAAAATCAGAAAGGAGTTTACAAATATGACAGGATCGTCATAATTGTGTGAAATGTTCAGCTGTCAGGATTTGCTGATTGTTATCACCAGCGATCTCACGCCAAGAAAAACACGCATGGTAAACGAGGAAAGACTGAATTAGAAACTGAAATAACAAAGGTTTTAAAAAACAAAAACTGTAACAGTACTAATTGCGACAAAGTGGAAACCTTGAAAAGGTGCCATAATTATTGAAATAAATCTTACATGAATCTTGTTAATGTGTTACAAACAATTACGGTTCTTACAAATACACGATCCTGTCAAAACCAGCGAAAATGTCTGCAGTTAAGTTAGGTCCAAGGGGATTTCCTGCAATGTTTCTGCGAGGATTTAATAATATGTAAACCAAAGCAATTAGCTTAAAAATAAGTCTTTCGTCTTGTTTAAATATTGGACTCAGGTGAAGCTGGATGATATTAAACATATTAACGTCTGAACTACCTGCCTCGCAAAGATTAGTGACCAGAGAGAAGAACCATCAGTCGTAAGCCTTGTTGTAACTAGGCGACGTAAGCGGAAGTGCAAACTTAAAAGCCCGTATGATGGCCTTGATGCAAGCAAAAGTGCAAAGGACAGGACAAAGGAAAAAATCTGATCTCTTGCTTCCAATTGCGTTAGTGCTGGCGTCGAGGTAATTTTCAAGGTGAAAAAAGATTTGTTATGCTTGCGTAACATTTGTGCTTGCACTTGTGCTTACGTTGTACGAAAACCAGGCTTTAGAGAAGAGAATACTTAGTGATAACTTTGTGGTAGCCCCTTAGTAATTCGTTAGGTTTCTCCAACGCCTTGCCAATACCCCTACGTCCTTTTAATTAATCGAGTGCTTGCACCCGGACCTGGACTCCATAACAATAAGTAACGCAGTGAAAAGTAAGACTCATCTCATGCTTCATAAAATGAGTATATTTCCATAAAAGATGCACTCACTTACAGGAAAGTAATATCCTTAGAATTTTGCAAAATCTCTTTCATGTCGTCCAACGTTAGGTCGTTGTAAGACATCTGTCTGTAAACAAATAAAGGGATGAAGGTTTATTTTCATAAAAGGGTTCGGAAGTCTCTTTGCAAGGTCGACAGACGTAGTTTTAGCTTTACATTTTGATCAATTGAACGAAAACGAGAGAAAACGCTCATGCATCGATTTTTGACATAAATTGATCATACCAACGCATTCTCGTAAGCCATCAGACTCAGAATGTTGTCTGATGCATGGTATTGAATTAGCTCTTCAATTTAATTTTCAGGCTGGCTTGAAAAATCTTATCTGTTTCCTTTAGAATAAGGATAAAATTAAGCAAATTTGATGCAAAGCAAATTTTGTATAAAATCCTTCATCATGATTTATTTTCGAGTTACATAAAGGAGACGTATGCTGATAAGTTTTATCCTCGCTGTTACAACTTTTCCCAACTGAGAATCCAAAGCTGAGAGTGAACTAAAAATTCGCAAATTTTCTTCCTCTTTGGATTCCTGACCACCATTTTGAAAAGAGCCTGAAAAAAAAACTCAGCAAATTGGCCATACACGAAAATCCTCAACAGCCCTTTTACAGCAAAGCCTTCAGATCTGAGTCCAGAGAATGGTAAAAAGGTGAACTGGAATTGCATTTTACGTCATCGGTAAATGACCAGGTTTGCTGGGAATGATTAAATATAACAGCGAACATAATCGAGTTTTTGGCGCATTTTAAGACAGTTTCTGAGAGGATAGGTCACTCAAAACGCGGTATTCATGAGTCATTATGTCATATGTATTTTTGATTGGTGGAGATGAAATTTGTATGGATGGTTGAGCATACTTCTGCTTTGTAGCCTAAAATAAAAAACCTTTGAAAAACTAGAACTTACAATGCTACTACGCTTTTAGGAAGGAAAAATCCACCTTTGATGTTGTTCTGGTAGATATTTCTAAAATCAACCAAAAAAATAACAAGAATAAGCATTATATTAGAGAATCTATTCCTAATATGAATCGAACAGGAAGTGCCATTTGAACACAAGGCGCCTCGTTAAGGTTATCAAAAGTGACTAGCGTTAAGTCAGAATGAAATTGAGGGGTTTTTTTTAAGGGGAAAATGTATAATTGGATGCTGATTCTTCTTCAGTAGCATAGGAACAAAATCTTGCCGCTTAAAATTTTATCTCTTGAGCCAAGTTTTTTTCTGAAAAATTCCAATGCCCCTTGATGAAAAATCATGCAATCACTCACACGTTAAACAAAGCTGTCAGATTTCGGAAAGTGTTCCTCGGAATTGTCCTTAACTTGTTTTGCGATAGATCTCTGAGAGGATAAGAAAAGAATGACAATCAAGATCAAAAACAAATTAATGCAGCTAAACGCTTGAACCTCCTGTAATAAGCTTACACGCTTGTGAAGATCTCCTATAATGATAACAATAATAGTAATAATGATAACGATAAAGTGTCTAAAAATATGCGCAATGTGTGAGTCTCAAGCATGATTAGACACACAGCAACTGTCTAAGCGACAAATCCAGTTGAAGCACAAAAGAAGACAAGTGAACTTATCCTTAGAGGTGTCTGCTGAGAGAAATGACCCCAAGAGCATTGAATAATAAAATTGCTGGACCAGTTGAAAGGAAAAAAATAAATGACATGGAATAAACGGTGCAGACCTACGTAAATTTAATGCACTCAGCTCAGACCCGGATCGCTCGCAAGCAAATAGGAATAAGTCTGACAGCTATGATAAAAATAACAACGTGAACATCAACTCACATTTTTGCGAGAAATTTCAGATTTGAGAAGGCGTCCTCCGGTATAGATTTCAAACGGTTGTTTGAAAGATCTCTAGATAACGAAATATTTTAAAAGAATTTAACTTCAGTAGAGAAACATGAGGAAATAATTATTTACACAAGTACTTGATTGTAAGTATTGGTCACAGGAATAGAAATACTACATGGGGAAGTACTGGGTAAGATTTAATACGTCAGTTTCGCAAAATTGTTGACGTCAGCTTTTAAACCCTTCACGGTGGCCAGTTTACATTATCAACTGAGTTGATAATACTAATTTACCCTGTTATACTCTCCCACCGACGCAGCAGCACAGTTTCTTTAGAAACTTACCCTCTTTATTCATTTGAACTGCAGAAAGTTCTCCAAAAAGCGACGTAAAGAAGGCTTGTTTTTATTGAAGAAGAGTAATCATGGCCGCTATTTTGAAGTAGGTCTATAAATCACTTTCACAGTGAGAGAATAACGTTTTACTTACAGCGACACCGTATTTTCAGGCAAGTTACTGGGTACTTGTGTTATACCAGTGCACTTGACACGAACTCGTGTACGACCAAAGGGATAGCAGGTACAATTTCCTGGGTGAACATCCTTCAAACAACTGAATCCTGAGGCTACGCACGGTGACAAAATTGCTATCAGCGTAATACGTGTCCATAATTGAACTGAAGATTCCTTGTACATCTGCAGAATGAAGTTGACGTCATGTTTAATTTCATTACTAAAAGATTGTAAATCACCTGTTCATTCTGATATTCCAAACTGGCGAAATGATTGAGCTCTGTAAATCATCAGCAGGTTCTAATTCCCCAGCAATAAAAGACGGAGAGAAATGTCCCGTGTGTGAAAATAATACTTCCGGCAATGTACTTTTGGAGATAAAGTAAGCTAAGTTAGTTTGCGTTGCTGTTTATCAGTACCTTCAGTGAATATAAATTGTGCCGCTTGGTAAACAATGAAGTTTTGCTTAACCTACTTTTGTACCACTTTAGTTAACGAGGACACCTACGACATTAAAAGCATAGAAACAAAATTGATTACTACCGAGCTTGATGTCTTGATGCCTCAGCCACAAAAATAATTGAAGTTACATCGGAGAACACCCGTATCTACTAAATACACCAAGAGCTCGTGCGACTGCTTATATACTGTCGAGAGGGTATCCGTCCCACCCAAATGACAACAATTCGATCGGCTAGGGAGCAGGATTGTAATATCCAGAAATACACACACTAAAGAAAGAAAAGACAAAGGAACAAAATGGGTTTTTCCCTTTTAGCTGAAAACAAAGCACGGGTTTTTTCCCCTGACAATGGAAAAAAACCGTGGGTGATTTCATTTGTAATATAATATATTCTCCACTTTCTAATGATCAACAAATGTTCCTTCCTCGCATCTCGAGCGACCTGTTCCTCAGTGGGTGAGTGTGTTGTTTTCGTGTTTTCTGTAATTAATTAGTGTGCATGTAAGTTCGTTTTGGATGATCAGCGTTGCATTAATCACACAAGGCAATCTCTTCTGTCCTTGATACCCTACGAATTTATCTTTCTAGTATTTTTCGACAATAAGCAATCTGGAACACGTGGTTAGGACGCTGGACTAGTAAATACGGTTCCTCCTGCTACTCACTGGATTTGTTCTCGGTCGCCCTGAGTTTAACACCTCGGCTGCGCTGTATTAATAGCCAGCTGGTCTGCCTCCTGCCAGCTGAGATTTTCTAGCACTTTATGTTTATTTGAAACCTAAATTGTTCATCATTTATTTAAGGAGACATGCTTTTAGATCTTCTAAAGCAAAACTTCACCTTCAACTTAGAATCGTAACGATCTGGTAAACGAACATACGCGAACATTCCGATAAGAGCGCGCTAGATCACAGTCGAAGTTTACAAAAGTCCTATCTTAGAAAATATAAAGCGTCAAGTCTGACTGCTCTTAACACATTTTTACAAATCTGAAATTCATCGGAAGCCTTTGAAAGCAATTTCTGGAGAAAGTGTTTGTGGGACAGGTGCGCTCGCGAGCCGTTTCCGTCGATGAACTCCAAACTTCTGTTGTTTACATTTAAGCTACTGCTTTTATCTGTTGCGTTTCCTGCTCAGTAGTTAAGAAAGTAAAAGCAAAACTTTTGAAATTGAAGTTATTGCTCATTTTTGTACGATAAACAAAAGAAAATTGTCACACATGTCATCAAAGAGCGTACTAATTTCCATAGCGTTCTTACATTACAAAAGCATTAGCTTCAGGGGGTACTTTCCACTAATTGATTCTATGAAAAAGTCCCGTAGGCTACATTGTACTGCATGCTTTGAAGTCAGGGGCGTAACGAAAACAAGGCACGGGTTTTTTCCCTTGACAATGAGAAAAAACCGTGGGTGATTTCATTTGTAATAATAATATATCTACCAGCTTCAGGGGGTTTTTCCCTTAATTGTTACTATAAAAAAGTCCCGTAGGCTCGATTGTACTCCATACTTTACAATCAGGAGCATAACGAAAACATAGCATGGTTTTTTTCTCGTGACATTGGGAAAAAACCTGGGTGGTTTCATTTGTAATATAATATATTCTCCACTTTCTAATAATCAACAACTGTTCCTTCCTCGCATCTCGAGCGACTTGTTCCTCAGTGGGTGAGTGTGTTGTTTTCGTGTTTTCTGTAATTAATTAGTGTGCAGGTAAGTTCGTTTTTGATGATCAGCGTTGCATTAATCACACAAGGCAATCTCTTCTGTCCTTGATACCCTACGACTTTATCTTTCTAGTATTTTTCGACAGTAAGTAATCTTGAACATGGGACTTAACTAGTAGTTAGGACGCTGGACTTGTAAATACGGTTCCTCCTGCTACTCTCTGGATTTGTTCTCGGTCGCTCCGAGTCTAACACCTCGCGCTGTATAAATAGCCAGCTGGTCTGTCTCCTGCCAGTTGGGATTTTCTAGCGCTTTATGTTTATTTGAAACATAAATTGTTCATCATTTATTTAAAGAGACATGCTTTCTTGGATCTTCTGAAGCAAAACTTCACACTTCAACTTAGAAGCGTAACGGTCCGCTAAACAAACATTTGCCGCATAAAGCGTGATTGACTGGCTGATTCCTTTGCATCTTAACATGTCAACTGGTTCTAACTGCTTCCTCTTAAGGAAGTTTGTTTTCGCCCCTGATCTCCTTTGAAGCCGTCATATGGTGTCGCATGTCAACCGGTTCCAACTGCTTCCTCTTAACAGTGCATGTCACCACTGACTGCCTGTCGCAATGAAACTTCATGTACTTCGATAGCCGAAAGATAACATTTTTATAACGGTCTAATAACAGCCATTTCTTTTATAACGTTTATTTAATATTAATTTAATGACAATAACCACATGTCCATTATTTCTAGTGAAAATTCACCGTTCTTTGATTAATGCCCCGTATGCATTTTTTAAATAAAAATCTTCAATACCTATAACGAGTACAACCTAAGACTTTCAAGCACAAATATGTTTTTTTTTACTCAAAGGCACCTGCAGTAAAGAAGTAGTTGTTGAGACCAATGCGTTAGTTTCCACCCTGATCTCCTTTGAAGCCGTCATATGGTGTCGCGAAGCGCTCCCCCGTGAGAGTTCTCTTCGGCGAGCATTGCATGACATCCGAGAGTGTTTGGGGTGAGCATGTTTTCAAGTCTTCATGATGTATTCAAACGTTTGATCCTCTTACTTAACAGAGCCTGTGAATAATGGCTACAAACGTTCACTATCAAGCTGTGATCTTCCTCTTTTGCTGCGTGATGCTGTCCGCTGGCTCACAAATGGAAGTAAAAAGTTTGAAATATTGCGGTAAAACATTTCTCCCTTACTTAATGAATTATTAGTTACTTTTTTGAGGGTATTCCTATTTTTTCTTATGTAAATCATTATCAATTGCCAGGGAATAATCTAGGATGTCAACTCTTTTTGTCACTCTGAAGTCCAGGATAAATCCAGAGAGAAACTGGGTGCCGTTTGGAGACTATAGGGGCCAGGGGATGGTTTTCTTTATGGGCGTAGAGCTGTAGATCGACCAGCATGGCGTGCATTGAATACCATCTTTGTATTCCAGGTCCTCCAGATAAAACCGTAAAGTACAAGGTTTCTCCATGGCCGGTGATAACAGATGCTGATTCTGTAAATGTTACGTTTACGTTCACCCCTGGTAAGTCGTTGTGTTACTTTTTAAAAGAGCTCACTTAATCAACCCGAGTTGGAGAATAGTTGTCAGACATTACAGTTTGGCGGTAAAAACGTTTCAATGTCAGTGGTCAAACCTAACTTCAAATATTTTAGTGGAGAGAAGGCAATAGGAACGGAGTCGTTTTATTGTATTGTGGCTGGACATGAGAGGATAAAATTCTCTTTGGCTAGACCAAGTAGTCAAGATAATTGAAACTCTCCTTTATAGCGTGATCCCATCGCTTATTAATCTTCTCAGTTTTAGGTTTGTCTTAAACACGGACAATTTCAAAGAGTTTCTCATCATATCTTTTCTATATTTCTCCTTACAGCGAGAGACATTTTCTCTTTGTCTTTCTTTTTCAACGTCACGAAAGATGGAAAAACCATCATCGAGCGGAATAAGGAGGCGAATTGCAATTACGTGCCATACCACTGCTATTTCTCAGCAGACGGTGAGTATTCATCAGGAATACTTAATCAAGATACAATTTCCTGCCACATTATTAGCGAAATTCAAAAGGTATTGCAGGAGTAATCTGCACCTATTCTGTATAAAATATTGTCTGATATTTTTCGTCACACGATTCAGGAGAAAAAATATTCTTTTATTCTCCGAGGCACTCAGTTACTCCTTCTGGTTTTCAGCTTTGGTAAACAGCATAACTTATTACAGAGAAGTTCTTCATCTTATGTATTTTGCATTACAGTTGTTATAAGTACGAAACTTATCAAATGTTCAAGTAAATCTCACAAAGATAAGCAAAGATGAAGAATTAAAACTTGTCCTTTTTATAAACATTTTATGCACTTTTAGTTGGTTACTTTTCTTAAAACGAAGGAATGCGTTTATGCGCAACATAACTGTCTCACCTCTCATTTCCTCCAAGAAACCTACACCTTGACCAAAACAGGCCTTCACATAGTCAATGTTTCCCCCATCTTTAAGGTATAGTACTTAATAGTTTTTTCCATACATATTGGCTCCAGAGAGGAGAAACATTCTATTTACTTAATGTTTTTTAACACATACTGTACTGGCATCTCGATGGCTAACCCATGATGCGCTCATCGTGAAATTATTAGAGTCTAAACCATGCATCTACCACATCTTCTCTCGTTCTGCTGCTTGTTTGTTTTTATAATTTGATATATCGACAATCAATTAACTGCTTCTTTTTGAAAATAGGGGAAATTTGAAGCCACACTCATACTGTTCAATCAGGAGCAGTTCTCCGTTTTCTGCGTCCAGTCGGTAGTGGTCGTGTCATGAGCCAATCACTGCTGACTCAGTGGACCAAGACATCCGCTAGTTATTGAACTTGACTTCTTGTCAATATATGTTTTCAACATCGACATTTAGTTTTAATTTCGTGTAGATTTCGTGTGGATATATTTAGAAGAGGTACAATCGTAACTCCAAGTTTAAGACGCATCTGTTGTTGTATAAACGTAATTCTAGAAACTTTGTCGTTCAACTGTTCTTTGTTTTTGTTTTCTTTTTCATTCTTCTGCTGCTTTTTGTCAAATGCGTCTTAAGGAATCGATTTCAACGGTTCTATAGCAGTGTACTTATTTTGTTTACTTTTTCTGGAAAAAAAGGAATTTTCAGTGAGGCCTCTTCTCTTACCATTTTTTCAACGTACTAGGACTCTCTTAGGTCACTGCATTTATGCGTGTTTTTTATTTTTTTTTTAAAGTTGAAGCTATTTTTCAAAGTTTGTTAACTGTTATGCGTGGAAAACTAAGGCCCCATCCGTGATATCCTTTAAATATATTGGTGAAGCGGAAGGTTCTATAGCCTGTGGCTTGCGTTTTCAAGGGGATATCTATACAACTCATATGCGTATACAAATAGAAATTGATGTGTAACTTTTGTATTTTGCTGAAATAAAGTGTTTGCGCAAATAAGAGTCAGTAGTCACTGCTTAGGTATAAACCGCCTCACCAGACAGGGTGCATGATGTTGAAGTCTTGCGATGTCATATGCTTTAAACCAAATATATACCTATGTAGATGGCTTCTCGAGCAGAGCATTAAGTGTCTCTTGAGTGTCTCTTGAGACTTGAGTGTCTCTGTAAGAGCGGTCCGGTCGATTTTGCTTGAGACACGGATTTCGCTCGTTTCTCGTGTGTTGTAAGACATTCATGTACCTATACTAAAACCACAATCAGTTTGATCAGATCTCTTTATTTTTCAGAGTTTTACGGAAATTAAATTCCACTCGAGCGAAGGCTTGTCGTGACACTTTTCAAGACTTTAATTTCATACAACTTTGGAGGATAATTTACAAAAAACTACGGAACTCAGCAAAAAACAAATACCCCAGCCATATATATTAACTCTATCTTATCTATCGAGGCGACTTTCGTAAACATCACGTGTCAATCAAGGAAACAGGAAGACTTGAATGACACCTTATCGGTTCGCCTCAATCACACACGCCAAAACCGATCAAATTCAAGGTAAATTTTTGAAAAAGTGAGGCGTTCTTAACTGATCCAACTAACATAGCTAGGAAGTAAGTGCCATTGAAAAGGTAACTACAGAAAAAAAACTTTGTGGCCCGACCTCAGAGAAAACTTTATAACTCCGTGAACTTACCTAGTTTTCGGCAATCTCTAAGTTTGGCCGCCATTTTGAGGGACTTGTCAACATGAAGCGTACCAGATATAAATCAAGCAGGTAGATCTAAAACCATCAGAAATACATACGAAAGCAATTCAAATGAACTTTACTTTCAATTCAAGCGGCAAAATTTGAAATTGTTCGTTAAACTTACAATCCCTATGCGACCATTTCTTTCAACGATTCAAACACTACAACTAGGTTCGAATTCCCCTCGTCGATTCCACCGCAAGAAATAACCTTTGCCACCCAAGCTTCGACTCGAATATGAAGTACGAATCAAGTAACATAACTGCTTCATCTTCGCGGCAATATCACGCTGGTATTTTGATTTTCCGATCGACAAGAACGGTGATCAGGAATCGATCGGTTTGTTTACCTCATAAACGTGACCGCTGACCAGCCGCTAAGTGAAAACAGCATAGCGCGGGGCGGGGTGGGTGGCGGGCTTATCGTCATAAGATATTCGAATACATGCTCAAAAAGCTCTAGGACTATCAGTCTAAACAGTGAAGGCATGCTTCGTGGTACAGAAAAATTTTATTTTATTCTCATAACTTTCTCCTTTAAAATTAGAACTGGTACTAATTAATAGAGTTATCAATATATTTTTAACCGGGTACCCATATAACCTTTTTGCTTGTCGTCAGTGGTATAAAATAAGGTGTCTTTTCCACCAGAACCTTTTATTTATGCCCCATTGCACGAAATGAACACTATACTTAGAATGTTTGCTCTAAGTAATTTTTTCTGTTCCCAAGAATGTATGCAAAGTGATAGAGATTTGATTCATTCCGCTGACACGTTCTTTTAAATTATGGCGCGTGCAGGTTTTTTCTATCAAAAGTCGCGCATGCAACACACCGGAATTGAAAATTCGTCGTAAAATCGCACGAACCTTAGAATGAGTGTAGGCAACTTTGACTTCTGGCGAGATTAAGTGGACGGTTCAAAGGACCCCCTGAGATTTTTTTCAGGACTATAACTGAGATTTGTTAATAACTATGATAATCGTCATCATTAGCGGACGGTGCTTTTTGCCTATTGTTGTCATCATTATCGTTATCAAGCCGGAAGAAGTATAAAGCCGGCATGTCGCCTTACCTAGCTACACAGAAAATTCTTCTCTCTTTTGCTCCCCTTGGATCCTGGAAACTGTTACTATTAAGACGATCAACAAGAAAGCCTTCATAATTATTGAAACTTTTGATTAACAGAATGTAAGAAAAAATCGGTGGGGAGAGTTTTTCGCGTATCTTATAATGTGAACGATAGTTTTAAATATAACAAATAACACTTAATTCAATTTACCTTAGTTGTCTCGTGTTTAAAAGTGGCGTTTCTGGGGACCGTAGATTCTTCCCTGATTCCTCTTGTCTCAGCCAAGACTCACTATCATCAACTTTTTTCTTGTGCTTCTTACGGCATGGGACAGAGAGAGCTGAGGTAAGCGATTGCAAATTTCTCAATTAAAGTAAAGCCCAGTAGCATCCATCAGGAATTAAAAACCGACATGCACTGTTTATTTTAATTTTATTATTCTTAATCAAATAAGGGGCGTTTTAGTCTGCAAATTTAATCATACTGGTTAATGAGAATCATACAAACTGAGGAAAACTGACCGCAAATAATTGTGAACCGTACGCATGAGTAGGTATATTACATTATTGATTATCAACCAAGCAACATTGTACATATTTCCATCTGTAATTAAAAGCACTTACACATAGATCTATTTTTTTCAACGTGATGTGTACTTAAATACCCTTCATCTAATAAAGAATTTCTTCTCTTTTCGAGCAGATATGTCACGTGACAAAAATAGATAACAGAAAATGTTACTGAAGACTACCTGATTCAACTGGAATAATAACTCCAAACAGCTTTTGAATGTCCGGAGACATATGCAAGGTAATTACATCTCTGCCTTGGATACGCTTCCTGACACCATCATGATCAGGATACTGACATGTTACCTTTGCACTTCTCCAAAACTTCCCCAGAGTGTGGCGATGCCTATGGTAAATCCACATTTTTTTGTTTATCCTCCTGAGCGAGGTGAAATAGGCCAATCCTTGCCAAGATTAGCTCATTTTCACTTAAAAAGCCCCTTTAGACAGGTGGCAGTTTATCAAATGCTGTTTTACTTCGTCATTGCATTCAGACAGTCGTACCAAACCACTTAAGCCACACGATGAACCAAAGTTTTTTCCATCTTTGCTATTCAAAAAGCAGTCCTGAGACTTCTTAAAGATAGTGAGGTCACGCGTATCCTGTAAGCATGGAGAAGCCGCGAGACGCGAGACTCGTATCTCGCGTCTTTGCCGCTCCACGCTCTCAGAGTTGGGCAAAGACAAGACACGTTATTTCCGGTGCGATACAAGAGGTTCAATGGTTATCTCGATTATCTAAACACATTTATTAACGTGGTAAAGATTTGTTTTTAAATCTATGAACTGATGTTAGTCCTATTTGGAACGAAATGTATTTGAAATAAAAAAGAATACTGAAACAAAAGTTGTCTGCAACACGAAGCATGCCTTCGCATTAAGACTGAGAATCCTAATGTTTATCATGATACTTTAATGCATATGGTCGAATGTTCCCTAAAATCTGATAATCTGTCCGCACCCACCCCTCACCCCGCCCCTCGCCACTGAACCGTAATGTTTTCACTCAGCAGCTGGTCAGCGGTCACGTTTATGAGGTAAACAAACCGATCGATTCCTGATCACCGTTCTTGTCGATCGGAAAATCAAAATACCAGCGTGATATTGCCGCGAAGATGGAGCAGTTATGTTATTTGATTCGTACTTCACATCCGAGTCGAAGCTTGGGTGGCAAAGGTTATTTCTTGCGGTAGAATCGACGAGGGGAATTCAGAAAGTTGTAGTGTTTGAATTGTTGGAATAAATGGTCGCATGGGGATTGTAAGTTTAACGAACAATTTCAAATTTTGCCGCTTGAATTGAAAGTGAAGTTCATTTGAATTGCTTTCGTATGTACTTCTGACGGTTTTAGATCTACCTGCTTGATTTATATCGGTTACGCTTCATGTTGACAAGTCCCTCAAAATGGCGGCCAAACTTGGAGATTGCAGAAAATTAGGTAAGTTCACGGAGTTATAAAGTTCTCGCAAAGGTCGGGCCGCAAAGTTTTTTTCTGTAGTTACCTTTTTTATGGCACCTACTTCCTAGCTATGTTAGTTGGATCAGTTAAGAACGCCTCACTTTTTCAAAAATTTACCTTGAATTTGATCGGTTTGGCGTGTGTGATTGAGGCGAACCGATAAGGTGTCATTCAAGTCTTCCTGTTTCCTTGATTGACACGTGATGTTTACGAAAGTCGCCTCGATAGATAAGATAGAGTTAATATATATGGCTGGGGTATTTGTTTTTTGCTGAGTTCCGTAGTTTTTTGTAAATTATCCTCCAAAGTTGTATGAAATTAAAGTCTTGAAAAGTGTCACGACAAGCCTTCGCTCGAGTGAAATTTAATTTCCGTAAAACTCTGAAAAATAAAGAGATCCGATCAAACTGATTGTGGTTTTAGTATGGGTACACGAATGTCTTACAACACACGAGAAACGAGCGAAATCCGCGTCTCAAGCAAAATCGACCGGACCGCTCTTACAGAGACACTCTCTTAAATGGGCAATTAACAGACTATGGTTTTTTCCTTCGTAAACGAACAGTATATTTTCCAGAAAGGACTGGCTTTTAGGACTGCTGATCGTGTCTCGTGATTGAGCGATACATTCCCCAACGTAAAAATGAATTAGAAGCATATTGCAAGAAGATTACGATAGGCGAGTGTCCTGTGGACCCGCACATTGATAGGTGAGTGTCCTGTGGATCGCACATAACGTTTAGGCTAAGCTCCGCGCCCGAAAGCTCACTTATCTGGTGTTAAGTATAATAGGCTGAAAATGAAATGAGGATGGAACGAAAAAACAGCGTAAGAGACAGCGCAGTGGGGTCACCTGATTATAATCTAAAGAACAGTAAATACTCGAGCTGTTGGTCCTCTTTTATGGATTGATTATCTTGAT